TATATATATATATAGGCAAATTAAGCAAACCGGCAGATTTAAGTGTCTCATTTTGCCTCCCCCCATGTACAGTTTGACTTTTGGCTGAAAACTTTTGGTGGAAAATTATCAGCTAGAAAGTGACTGCATTCTATAATATGCAGTCATTGTATTGACAGCTACCACGGCTGCCTAAAATACAATAACCCACAGTGGAGATTCCTTCATTCACCCTGTTCATGTGGATGGGGGAATGGATTGATTTTCTCTCTTTCAGTTTGCAGGCAAAACAAAAGAAAATTCAGCTTAATCCTCAACAGAGCTGCCAGTTTTCCACCTGATGAAGCCATTTCCTTTCCTTCAGGCACATCACGTGCATAAAGTTATATTGAAGTACGCATCCCTTTAGGCGAGCATACCCCCAGCCTTTAATCTCCTGTGGGGATATGAGTGAGCAATCACATCCAAATAGTTTCCGTGATGTCCTTTCCAACACAGGAAGGCCACCTGCTATCTGCCTCTCCCCGGGATTTCCTTTTAGGTTGCTGCACAGCCGCCCCTCACTTTTCTGGGAAAGAATTCCACTATTTGATTATTTTAGGACTGAAAGCTGCTGAAAATAGTTACAGCTAGCCAATTCTAGCTGTAAGTTAGTTCACTTCTACTTTTTCCTAATAAAAGTCTTAAAACAGCCCACACTGAGGTTGTGAGAGGAGAGGGTCTTATTCAGGAACAATAGGTGGTCCCGGAACCCATTGGGAGCTGTGCGGGTGTCATTGTTTTCTCATCTGGTGAATCACGTGGGAGAAGACAGCCGAACAGCGGTGTTGTTTTTGGGGAATACAATGGCTGTCACCGATACAGTGTGTGATTGACAGGCATCAGGTCTAATTACTGTAATTACTGTCATGTAGTTTTGCAGTTCCTGTGCAGTTTCCTAGCACAATGCGCGGCTTGTTAAAGGTGCAACAAATTAGCACAAAGGATTGCTAAGCTCTCCGATGATGTACCGCTGTGCGTGGGGGAGGTTGCGTGTACACTGAAGGCTGTACAATAAATAACGATTCTGACATTAGAGGCCCTGGCAGGTATAATCAGCCACATTTGTGTTTGTTTAGAATGAAACCGCTGTTCCCATTTTTGAACTGAACTCACAATCACATAGACAAAAGCATAACCCCCAACTCTCTGAGATGAGAAAGAGGGACACCTATCAGTACGAAGTCATTAGGCAAAGGACACACCCCCTGCCACGCACCAGTGCCACGGACCACAAAGAATTAATAAGCAAAAGATATTGGTTATACCCAGAAGTGCTTTTTTTACCACTATATCTGTAAAAAAAATAAGTCAAGGCAACTGGACTTGCTGTATTAGGATATTATGGACCAATAATAATCCATAATATCCTAATACATTGTCATGGAGCACATTATCGGGACTCATGTATGAAGTGATTCTGAGAGGAACCTGTTTTGCCCATTGCAACCATTTCAACACCGGGATTTGCTTGCTGTGAGCAGCACAGGCACGTTCAGAGAGTTTTGATATACAAGAAACCCCAAAAAGTCTTACAGGGTTATTCACAAAATGGTGAAGATTTGGAGAAGTGAACAATCTAGGACAACCTAGCTGAACTGGAAAATGACCTGAATGGGAGAACTTTTCCAATTCAACTCTGTTGTCCTAGAGCAGGGGTGCCCATAAGGTAGATGGTGATCTAGCAGTAGCTCTCAAAGCTGATGCTGGTAGATCACGAAGAGTGTGATTGGTGGCCCCTTTATTCCATTTTGGTATATTTATTTAGCTGTGCACACATGATTACCTATTAGCCCGAGTCTGCTGAGCCGAGCTCCCTGACACCTTTCTGGTGGATACTGGTGGTTGAAGTGCTATGGATTACATCAAAGAATATTAGTTTACACAGCCTGCTTCACTGCACTGTTTGCAAAATACAGCAAGGTGAGCCAGGAGAGAGAGCGGGGAGAGACAGACAGGAGAGAGACAGACAGGAGAGAGAGTAAGGAGAGACAGCCAGGAGAGACAGCCAGGGGAGAGAGAGAAGAGGTTTTTTTGTCGTTGGTAGATCTAATGTAGCTCGTCATTTGAAAAGTAGATCTTAACACAAAAATTGTGGGCACCCTTGCTCTAGAGTGTTCACTTCTCCTGTCTTCTCCTAACTCATCACCCTTTTGTGAATAACCCTGTCAAAGATGAACGCCAGGATTTATTAAAATTAACCCTTGCAGTGGGGCTACCTGCGTATTGCAAGCCTTCCAAAGATGTATTTTTTATTTATTTTACTGATTTATGGAGACACAGTTCAAATGACTTATAGATTCGGTATCTGCACCTTGTGAGGTGGGAGGAACTCTAATGAAAGACTTAGCTCTCTCTATACTGAATTGTGATATTGTCTGATGGTGAGTAACCCTGTATCCTATCATTGTAGATGCGAAACACCAGGAAAGTGTCGGTGTGGCCCGTGGCTTTTGTTGGAGGATTGCGGTACGAGTCTCCCAAAGTCAACTCCGCGGGGAAGGTCTATGGGTGGAAGACCGTTTTCGACCCGCACAGGCCGTTTGCAATAGACATGGCCGGCTTCGCCATCAATTTGCGGCTAATACTTCAGCGACCGCAGGCGTATTTCAAGTTAAGAGGGGTGAAAGGAGGTTACCAGGAAAGCAGTCTGCTGCGGGAGCTGGTGACCCTCAACGACCTGGAACCAAAAGCTGACAATTGCACTAAGGTGAGGGGCTCCATGTTTCTGCCTGACACCAGATCGACGGCCATATTTACCGGTCAGCATTTGAATGAAATTATATTTTTTTAATTATTTTTGGGTTTTTGGTAAAGCAAACTTCCATGTGGTTTTCTTTAATCTTTTGGGGCTTCCTTTGCCAAGAGTTTCCCACCAGAATTTCAACTTTCTCTTAAAGTGGACATGACATGAGAATTCAAGGTCTGCTTTTTGGACTTATTAAAAAAAAGTGCCCCCCCAAAAAAAGCATTTTTAGTTTTAAAAAAAATCCCGAGACCCTGGCTTCTGTGCAATTCCTAGAGGTGCCGGTGACATTGGCGTCACCAGCGCTCGATATTGTGCAAGAAGCATAAGCACTTTTATTGATCTTGATAGTGACACTATGTCGCCCTGAAGGGACCCTGGGTTGGCTTAATGACGCATGTGACAGATCAATAAAAGCACTTATGCTTCTTGCACAATATCGAGCTCTGGTGACGTCTATTATTTATTTATTATAGCACCAACAATTTACGCAGCACATTTACATCAGTCCCTACCCTCAGGGAGCTTACAATCTAAGGTCCCTATCTCACATGCATACATAGAAGGCCAACTTAGACAGCAGCCAATTAACCTATCAGCATGTCTTTGGAGTGTGGGAGGAAACCAGAGTACCCGGAGGAAACCCATACAAGCACAGAGAGAACATGCACACTCCTTGCAGATAGCGAACTGGCCAGGATTTGAACCGGGGACCCCCAGTGCTGCAAGGCAGAAGCGCTAAGCACTACGCCACTGTGCTGCCATTATTGACTGTATCTGACACGGCGCCATCCGTGTTGTCACTTCGAGCACCAACATCTGTATTTGAAGGTCTACACGCTGTATGGAGTGCAGGCGATTCTTTGACAGGGACATTGCTGTGTCTCACCGATGCCTCCTGAGGAAGTTGGGTGTGCGAAATCCCATAAAAATGCTTTCCTGTGCTGTTACCTGTTTATCTATATAGATGGAGATTTTCCAACATAGGCGTAGACTTTTATTTCTCCGACATGAGGTCCCATACTCTACGTTTACTGCTCCTTTAAACAGCATTTAGAACTAGAGTGAACATCATTATGAATCAAGGCTGTGTACTGCTGAGCTACATGCAATGTGTGATATAATGGGCTTGTTTAATAACAAGGATATGGAAATGATTCTGCTACTCACCGCTTTGCGGGAGATGCATTTTGTCGACTCGGAGCTTCTTCTCCAGCGAAGCAGACACAGAGAGAGTGACTGGCAGCTCTGCACTCTTCACCTGTTTTTATAGGACGATTGAAGAACAGAGCATTTGATATGACAGACTGCGGTCTTATGTGTATTCCATAGACACAATTTGTATATTTATAAGTAGGGATGCACCGATACTTTTCAGATACCAGTGCAGATACTTGGCATTTTCATGAGAACTACCAGGGTTGCAGCGGTTGCAGCTGGGACCTGGCTCTGGCGCTCCACCAACCTCCTGAAATCATTAGTCTGTATTGTTTTAGAAAAACTGTCACATGACAATAAACAAAAATGTATCAGTACTTGTGTCTGTGAGGACTTGAATGAGTATCAGTACTCGTACTCGCAAAAAATGGAATTGGTGCATCCCGAATATATATGTTTATAAAAACAAAATCATACATTAAAACAGAGATGTACAAATCCCAGGAGCTCCGTGTGCCCCTTACAAATGACAGCGGCCTCCTAACTTTTGAATTTTTCTCTAGTTTAGTCTTGGAGCTGGAAAAGTATCGGTACTTGTACTTGTACCGAGTACAGTACTTGGTATCGGGGCATCCCTATTTATAAGGATCATTAGTTGTGTGTAATAACATCTCAATTTGTGAAGTAACGAGCAAGATATAAAAATTACACTTCTGTAATAGATTTGGCATAATGTGCTTGACTTCAGCCACTACAGTTTAGTTAGCAAATGCTGAACTGATAAGACGGTCCAGTTCCATGAAAGATTATGCTGGTCATGTGATCAGCAGTCTCTCTCCTCCTTAGCTCGGGGTTAATGGAACAGATCTCTGTCTATCTAAAGTCTCACTGGACCACAGAGGCGGGGACGGCACTGAAAACACAACAAATCTCTCTCCTTGGATATGCAAATTAAGTAGAAACGTTATTGCATTAATAAAGGGGACCAGTGAAGCTCAGTCATCGTCCTGCACTTCTAGGAAAAAAGCTCAGGGTACCTATGGCTGCCTTATGTACATAGAAAAATATTGAAACAATGATGAGGCAGTGATAGGGTTTACCAGGAGACGAAAAACACAAACAAAAGAAAAAAAGGACACTATAGATTACCCACTTATGCTCCATATGAAAAGTATCACTTGAATTTTGTAAAGAGGTAAATATAAAATATTGCGTATATCATTCCATATTGACTGCTGCTGTTGTACTGAATAGAGTCCTGAATGATTCAGAGCTGAGATGACAATGTCTTAAAGTAACACTAAACTCAGGAGTTAAGTCTTAAAAATACATTCAAGTACCTTAACTATGAACAACATCTTATTTGTGTATCACTCGGCTGTAGATCCTCCAATCATCTCTGAATTGGTGCTGACACTGTCCTGCCTTCTGGAGGGGGAGCTACTTGTGTTCCCCATGGTCCCTGTGTGTGTTGTAAAGTAGTCACCGCGATAAGCTCGCTCCCAGGATGGACTACAATCTCAGTACAAATTAGTAAACTAAACATGAGATTGTAGTCCATCATGGGAGCGGGCTTGGAGTGGTGACTACTTTACAAAATACGAACCATGGGGAACAGACATGGCCCCCCCCCCAGAAGGAAGGACAGTGTCATCACCAGTTCAGACATGATTGGAGGATCTACAGCCGAGTGATACACAAATAAGATACATTGTTGTTCATAGTTAGGGTACTTGAATGTGTTTTTAAGATGTAAATGCTGAATTTACTGTCACTTTAAATATGAGAACTTAGAGAGTGTGCCAGTAGATAGTAGTGCTTGGCTTTCTTATTATCACATGACACACTTGTACCCTTTAACAAATCTATACATAAAACTGATCCAAACCAATTACACTTTTCTGAGAAATCAGACCGCAGAAATCCTTTGCATCATGATGAATTATTAAAGCCTTTTTTTTTTATACCGTGCAACATTATATTGATGGCGATTTGTATCTTTACATTTCAGATTTTGGTATGGCACACGCGGACGGAGAAACCAGTTCTGGTGAATGAGGGGAAGAAAGGCTTCACAGACCCCAATGTGGAAATCTGACAACAGACGTACACCAGTGAGTTGATGATTTGGTTAACATTTTAGTTGCCAATGAAGCATGTCATCGGTGTATAGCTGAACCGATATGGGTATGGACATGGTAGGGTCATAGCTTGTAGGTCATCACTAGGGGTATTAGGAGAGAACTTTATATTAAACTTGGCCTGGTCCCCCTAATGACAACTCTGACTGTTCCAATTTGCATCCTTTTCTCATTTGTCCTGCGCTCTCCTGTCCAAAAAGGTGAACACAAACTGTGTTCATGTTCTTCTGGTAATCATCACAGAATCCTCTGACCAATCACAGGCCCCTTTGCTGCTGTCAATCACCCCAGACTCAAAAAGCGGGTCTGGATTGCTAGGAGATGGAAGGAGTTGAGCACATGTGGGGAGTGGTGATGATGCCAGCTTTGGGAACGCTGCACAGGTATAGGGCTGAACCTTTATAGGGCTGAACAAGGGGGCACTGATAGGCTCAGATATCAATTCACAACTGGCCTGGCTACAGAATGCGTAAAAACTTCCCAACCACATCCAGAACCTAAAAGTTCCTTATGTGCAAAACAGACATATACAGATACATGTCTAGAGGTGGAGGGCGGGCCAGGAAAGGAAACACATGCCAAAGTACTTCTGATTCTGTTAAAGGAGAACTATGGGGTCAGGGCTTTTCCCCATAGTTCTCCTTAGGGTAACAGGAGAACACAAACTAGCGTCCTCCCGTCACCCTAAGCTCAGTATATAGGGAGCTACAGCTCGGGGTATACTGAGACGCCGCAGCCGGAGCGGATCCCGACATCGATGTCGAGATCCGCCCAGCTGCGTGAGTGACAGCTGGCTCTGCCTATCTAAAGGCAGAGCCAGCTGTACCCGCCCCCTCCCCCGTCCGTTCCGCCAGTCAGCGCTGGCGGATCGGGGAGGGGGGAATCCAGCCCCTCCCCTGTCACGGCAGAGAGCCGTGACAGGATCGAGAGGTGAGCGAACGCCGGTATATGTTCGCTCACCTCCCGATCTACTGAGCCGACCTGTGACAGTCTCATTGTCACAGGTCGGCTAGAACTATGAGGTATGAAAAGCACTCGCCTCATAGTCCTCCTTTAAGCCATTTTTGTGAATTACACTCCTCGGTCCTACCAATTTCTATGCCACCTGTGCCAGTTATGACCATGCCGCTGATTGGTGGTGCATTAAGTGGGCAACAGGAAGCTGTATTACTAAATGGTGGCATCACCCTAGTGACCAAGGGTGTGGAAATCACAGGAATGGCTGCACAGTATTACAAATAGTGTGCCCAATAAAACCGATCACATACTGTATATGTATATAAGTTGTGGATTAAGCTGTTTCCCGGAGCTCATCTTTAACATTTGTCCCATTTAAATTCCACTGTTCATGGTTATAAAGGATCCTCTTTTGTTTTTTTCCTCTGCTCACAGCTGAAATTAAGTTTTTTCCCCTCCCCAGCAGATGAGGTAAGAGAGAGAAGTTGGGAGCGTGTTCTTGAGCGCCGATTTCCCCCTCCCCGCCCTGTAGCTCGCAAGGGGCTCCATGTGTACATTTTCCAAGAAGCACAGCACATGTGATAGAGGGAAGGTTGGAGAATGCAGAGAGTGAAGGACGTTTACTCCTCTTCCTGAGCATCACTTTCCAAAACAAGGACCACCGGACAATGTTGGCTGGATGTTGAACGATAATCATGGCGGTGCGGTGCCATAAACCGATGCCCACACAGCTTCACCTACTGAACAGAGCAGTAAGCACAGACACGTTCCTCCGCTGACACCCGCTGGTCATTCTGTTGGCTCACCGGATGAATTCATCACTGCTCTCTACACATCAGCATGTTATCCCAGAGCCCAAAAAAAAACCTCTCCAGGCCCGGGCTATATCGTACAACAAAAAATCAAATGGCGGACTCATTAATAAGACTCTTTTCACACTACTGTATGACGCAAAATCTGTATACTCTGGCACAAAGTATTGCCCACAACTAAGCTAATGGAAGAACCCAAATATGTCGTCTTAAATTATTATGACTGTGAAAAGCGCAGCAGGGGAAGATTTTAGGTTGCCCCCTTTTATCAATACTTTGTCCAGGCTTTGGATTGGAAAGTCAGAGGTCATTTGACTGTTGCTGCCTGGCCTCATGCTGATAACTGTGCGGTGACCTCTCACCCCTGCAGTGGCTTTGGATGGGAAAGTCAGAGGTCATTTGACTGTTGCTGCCTGACCTCATGCTGATAACTGTGCAGTGACCTCTCACCCCTGACCACTACAGTGGCTTTGGATTGGAGAGTCAGAGGTCATGTGACTATTGCTGCCTGATCTCATGCTGATAACTATTCGGTGACCTCTCACCCTGAACCCTGCAGTGGCTTTGGATTGGAGAGTCAGAGGTCATGTGACTATTGCTGCCTGACCTCATGTTGACAACTGTGTGGTGACCTCTCACCCCTGCAGTGGCTTTGGATTGGAGAGTCAGAGGTCATGTGTCTGTTGCTGCCTGACCTCTGTGCAGTGACCTCTCACCTCTGACCCCTACAGTCAAATGTCAGGCTCAGACTAAGTATATACTAAGGGGACACCTATAGATCCTTCACATTACAGTTATAACTTAAATCTTAATATCTTCATATTAGATCAGGGACAGGCAACCTCGGCACCCAAGCTCTTGTGGAACTACAAATCCCATGAAGCATTGCAAGACCGACAACCACCACAGGCATGACTCCCAGGGGCAAAACATGATGGGATCTGTAGTTTCACCACAGCTGGACTGCTGAGGTTGTCTACCCACCCCCTGTATTAGGCTGCTTTTCTTTAAATAAAACGATCCGGTGTAATCAGTCTTTTCTCCAAAGCAAAACTAGATCAGAAACTCCAAATACCGCCATATAGCTTGATAGCACCTTCAGGTTGACCTATACTTACAGTTATGGTAACAATCTTGCTGGGATTGACTAATAGAAAGGCTGAAATGCTTACCTTTCCTGAGGAAAATGCTGTGCCAAAGCTCCCTCCTGTGCTGCTTACATAGCAAAAAGCCTACTGATCTCTGCTGGAGGGGAGGATCAATCTGTCCAAACTCTGATCTTTCCCTACACTAATGGACATGTCACAGCAGAGATCCCCTTGGGATGGGATTGTTAAACAGGGTAGAGGCTGTATATCGGATAGTGAGGGTAGAGAATGCCCTATTTTCATGCGTTGTTCCCTACTGGCTGTATGATGGACATATCGCTTGCCTGCGACTTGCATTCTGCAGAGTTTCTATCAGCGAGGAAGTAATACCTGACCTGTCCACCCAACAAGGGAGTGATACATGAGCAAGGGAGTAATATCTGACCTGTCCACCCAGCAAGGGAGTGATACATGAGCAAGGGAGTAATACCTGACCCGTCCACCCAGCAAGGGAGTGACACATGAGCAAGGGAGTAATACCTGACCCATCCACCCAGTAAGGGAGTGACACATGAGCAAGGGAGTAATACCTGACCCATCCACCCAGCAAGGGAGTGACACATGAGCAAGGGAGTAATACCTGACCCGCCCACCCAGCAAGGGAGTGATACATGAGCAAGGGAGTAATACCTGACCCATCCACCCAGCAAGGGAGTGACACATGAGCAAGGGAGTAATACCTGACCCGCCCACCCAGCAAGGGAGTGATACATGAGCAAGGGAGTAATACCTGACCTGTCCACCCAGCAAGGGAGTGACACATGCGAGCAGACCCTGTGCAGTTTTTAGTGATTCTGTGTCACATGGCCTTTAAAGCTTAGCCCCGGGGTAGGCAACTTCAGCACTCCAGCCTGTGGCTGCCAGCCTAGCAGATGCACGTGGGACTTGTAGTTCTACAACAGCTGGAGTGCCCAGGTTGCCTTCCCCCTGGCTTAGGCTTTTGATCACATGACCAGTCCAAGAGGGAACCTGAAGCAGCATTTTCCCCAAGGAAGGTATTTCAGCCCTCCTATTACCCTATTCGTATATGACTGTTGACCAAGCTTTACCTTTAACCTTAGTGTACATCCACTTCCATACAGCTCTACCGATACAGCCCGGCTAGTCTCGGTAAGCTCGCAAATACTGCCCCCTTCGGGCTTCAGTGATGAATTATCCTCCGCCTGCAGCAGGATGACCCAGAAGTTCAAGCCGCCTCAGGCTGGGATACAATTAAATATTCCAATTATTTTACCCGAGGAGTCTGAACCTGTGCGGATGACGGCCGATACGCGGTCACGTTGCAATAGAACAATCTTTTTTTTTTGGCAGCGGAGAAAGTTCTGCTGATGCGTTTGTTTGTTGATCACATGCCCTGAAAAAAATGCACTTAAATGAAGAAAACGCGGAGGAGAGGGAGCACTGACAGGACAGACGGACCTCTAACCCCTCATCACCCTCCACGTGTCGCCTCTCCCGCAGAAATAAACAGGCTGCTGTTTTTAAAACAAGTATTTTCTTTTCTGGAACGACATTTGGTTTTGTTTCGACTTTTTTTTGGGTTTTGCATATTTAAAATGAAAAAAAAAAATGAATGTTTGTGAAAAAAAGTCTTCCAAATACTTCTTGTTTTTAATTTTCCTCCATCCACATGGCTTTGAGATCTTTAGAGAGCAGAGAATGAGATCTCCAGAAAGGATACGACATCTCTGGTAATATCCCCTATAAGATGTCTGACAGAATATGTCCTCAATGCACGACGCTGGCGGCGCATCTGCTGCGCACAATTAATTCGGCCGCTCAAGGCCGCGCCGGATGGCTTGTTCTCAAGCCAATAGCAGACAGATCACCCCCACTAGACACGGCCCGCTCGCTGGCTTCCATTTCATGTCCGCGATATTAAACCAGCATGGGCCTTGTGTATGTAAAGCGGAAGGATGAAACGATTCTGTTACCACGGTAACCCATTTCCAGCTGTCATCTCGTGTCCCCAAAACAAAGATTTAAGCAGACATCTGCTCGGTTAGTGAGGGATTTTTTAACTCCACTTTTATTTATAACCATCTGTATCCAAAAAAAAGTGATATTTTAATTAGTGGGGCCGCCGACATGTTGAATCGCATTCTGAGTCTTCATACGTCTTGGGGACTCCGATGTCAAGGTATCCTTGCCAGAATTCCATGTTCCTTATGTCTGTGAAGGTTCTCATTCATCCAGGTCATGGTATATCTGTAATCAATAAGTCAAGGCAACTGGACTTGCTGTCCAGTTGCCTTGACTTATTTTTTACAGATATACATGCTCCTTATGGCCATCTGGTCATTGCAATAAGGTTACACATGGGCTTCAGCTTGTATAACAATAGTGTGTGTGTATAGCAAGCTTTATTTATAAGGCTTCAGCCCAGCTTGGATGAAGCCTATAGAGCAGGGGTGCCCATCAGGTAGATGGTGATCTACCAGTAGCTCTCAAAGCTGATGCTGGTAGATCACGAAGGGGGGGGGGGGGGCGGC